TCATCACCATGAGGGATCGCCTTGTACACGGCCTTAAGGAAGCTGGCTCGACTAGGGACTGGACCCACATCACTGACCAGATTGGCATGTTCTGCTTCTCTGGCCTTTCTCCTGAACAGGTTAGTGCCCTGTCTTTCTCTCCCTGCCACCCACTCAATGGCCTTGGCTGACTTGTTCATTCCGTGCAGGTGGACAGGCTGGCCAACGAATTCCACATTTACATGACCAAGAATGGCCGCATCTCCATGGCAGGTGTTACCTCCCACAATGTGGACTACCTTGCCAAGGCCATCCATGAGGTCACCAAGCAGTAAGTAGAAGTAGATGCCTGGGCTGTGTCCTACAAATTGAAGAGAGAGGCCTGCAACGGAAACAAGTAAAACTTGAAAAATCCGTAAAACTACTTTTCATTTTTTGCCTAAGGGCACGAATTCATTTTACAGATGTGACACGAGTGGGCGATTCCTAGAACGGGTGAGCGATGCGTTTCAGGAATGTAAAATGAGTGAGCGATTCGTTTTTCTAATGACCAACGAAGGCGATGTGGAGAGAAGGAGAAAGAATGACGTACCGTCCGCCACGTCCCCGGATTTTGTCCAGGTTCGACCACCGCACCTCGCCCAAGGAGTTTTGCCTTTCAAGTCACCGTACTCCCAAAGGCGGCGGACTTGGAATTTTGGCGGCCAACGCCACACGACAAAGATGAGCCGTTTTCTAGCTTGCTTTGTATGCTCATGCACTCGCAATAGAGTCAAAATGCGCCGCAGTGAACGGGCTTCAAGATGTGATAGGAACCAGCCCTCTAGGATGCCTCATTGGGCCGCTAGGACTCGCCATTCTTAGTTGGAAATCGTCATGTCGCTTTTTTTTTCGACGTCACACAACCGAGAGCGCTGTTTTTCTGGCTTGCCTTGATAGCTGGCGGCCTGGTAATTGATTTCCAGACCATGGATTAAACCATGGGCTACAAGATGCCGCACGATTCACGGTGCTACAGTCCGCTGTTCGCCTCACAACTTCTCACCTCATCTTGCTCGAAAATGATAGATTCAGGAAAGCTCTCTTGGGACATGAGTCCGAAAACGCGTAGCACGCGTAGAACGCGGAGCACACGTTAAACGCGTTGACGTGGGTCGCGCGTAACCTACGCTTCGCCGGCGCGTGGGCTACGCAGGGACGACAAGTGAAAATGCGAGTGGTCATGGAGATGACTCTGTATCGCGATCATCGCGGACAACCGCGGAGATTGCGACTACCCGCGGAG